TGCTGAGAGTATTGATGAGTATTGATACGATTTAATAAGTATAGGTTTCTCAAGTTCTTCTTCAAAACTCACAGCTTCCCAAAGCCAAAGCCATCAATTCCTTAATCAATCCTTTATGTAGTAGTATGAAAGGATTGCAAATAATACCTGATGACAAAGAACTTCAGAAAGGAAAATGAATACTACGATCCATTACAAAAGGAATCCTCCTAGGAACCCAGATTTGTTTTGGTGGTAGTTTATTATAGAGGATCCTCCATTTGTTTGAGGGGGGACCCCCCTTTGCTAATCAAGATCCAACATTACGGTTATATATACAATTATTTATATTCGCTTTAAACTGACCGCCTTTCAAATTCAGCTACTAAACTGCACACAAGGTTGTTTTGAGGAGAGTTAGGTACTCACCCACTAGAATCGCCAACAATCGTGCCCCCTGACTAGCGACACGCCGCATTTGCACACGCATGTGCACCCTTCCCCAATTGCAGGGAGCCACACAAAATAGCGTTCACCCGAAATCTATAGTCTAGTCTGATGGAAAGTTCACATATGAGGTTTTGCAATCCAAATGGGTGGGCTTGGACGAATCAAGAGTCTACATTAGGTGGAAGGGAATAATTTGTCGTGCCAGTCTTGTCTATAGGTCTTCAAGTTCGTATGTTCTTTTTGTTAATGTTGCTGAATGGTTCCACAAACGGATCAAAGAAGGCGCTGTTCTTGTCCGCCTCCGAAGCACCCCACATCCCGCTCCTGTGCATCCAATCCCGCTCCTCACAGAAATATATATAAATATATGTTTATTTTTTTCTCGACCCTACGAAAGTCTCATCCGCTCTGGACTCCTGAAATACATCATCACTGCGTGACAGATTGCATAAATGATATAGAATGATATAGATCTTCAATGGTTTGGGCCAAAATCGGATGGATATTGAAGGCATCAAATTTGGTCAAAATTCCGGCATGTCGGTGGTAAGAGGAGGTCCTTAGATAGAGTAACACAAACAATTGAAATCCCTCGACACATCCAATATGTGCTTTGCGGCACCCCAAGTCGTGAGTTTTGTCAAGAGGTCGTAAGGCCCAAAGTCCGTCCAGTCCAGGGAAGAAGTAGAAGCTGCAATTGAATAACCAATCCTTGGGCTCCAAGTACCTCCTTAGAAGGTATTTGGAACCTCTAAACCCACCCCAAACACCTTCTAAGAAGGTCCTTGGAGCCCTAGGGCAAACAACAATCAAAAGTACCAATCCCAGCTACTGCGACTGGCATCCCTCCCGTGACCCGACCTTTCATGGTGCCTCCCACCAGGCAGTCCACGTCCGGTGTGAAGCGGAGTGGTGAAGCGGAGCTTGGCTTTGTTTCGGCGCCAGTACACCCTGGTTCCAAGACCCAGTAGAACCTGAAGAGCTTGAAGACTGAACATCGCCTTCCGGGCGCCAGGCCCCGATTAAACAGGTTCGGAATGTGAATCTTGCCAGGTGTACGACATTCTGCTGCTCAGCACCCGATTAAAACATCTCATCTCCTCGTTCGAGGGTCGTTGGTATGTCGTTGTACCTATCAAAGGTTTCAATGCGTGCTGGAGGGCGCTGGTCCGGTGAGGCAAACACATTCCAGGCGCCTTGCATTCTGGGTGGCCGGACTGTGCGGCCTGCTTTGCCCACCACCCATGCAGCAGCAGAAGAGGACACCACGAACCTCACCGCGAAGAAAGTTACGTCATCCACGGCAGCTGATTGAGGGATAAGGTCTTAAACAATCAAACGAAGTCAGTATCCACTAGAGCTGGTAGTCCCACAATGGGCGGTCCTTGTTTATGGGTTTCTCATGGCTTTTCCTGCTCCAAAGGCTCCGGTGGAAAGCTCTATGGCAGCTTTTGAGGGAGCAGGGCCGGATCCATCCTTTATGGATCCTTCTTTTGACCCCAACTCCGCTGCACCTGCACCCTATATATCTCCTTTGGATCCGGACCGGTATGACCGGGTGGGATTCGGGACGAAAAAGCCCGGGCCCCCGCTGGTTACGCATCCATGTTGCTTCTTGAATCACATTGAAGACTGTCAAAAGGACAAGAACACACCCACACAACCCCCGTTGATATTCAGGGTGAGGGGTCTCTACATAATGACAACGACCAACATCCCATCTCTACAAAATGACCCTAAAAGTGTTGGATCCATTTTGTAGAGAGGGACAAGGCCGATGGTACGCGTCAGAATCATCATCTGATGTTTATAGATGTCATATATGTACATGTATATATATATATATATATCTATCTTTTTCTGATCATCCATTGTGATTCTCTACCAAATGCAGGACCTCCTTGACAGAATCAAGGGCAACCCAACCCCAAATCATGATGATCCCTTCCACATCCTTCCACATCCCTTCCAATATCGGTACACCATGGCACACCCAACCCTGATTGCAGCGCACCAGGGTTGAAGGACCCTAACCACACACCTTGGGCTCCCAGCACCCTCCACTGCAACGATGACCATTCTGTAGGGGTAATAACCCCTAGGATTCTGTAGGTACCATCGAGGATCCCACACACCCCGGCTGGTGGATGATCCGGGGAGCCTGCAACCAGCCTGCAGCCGGTCCCAAACTCCCAAACTCACGTGGACATCACTTGTAGCTCCAAAGTTGGAGACAAATTAACATCTACCCAATGGTCCAGCTCTTGGGAATTCCACGGGAAATGAACAAATACCAGCAACACCACCCCGGATGTAAGTCTGCCAGGGGAACTCCTTCTTTAACATGTTATTAAAAACATATAAACGACCATCTCTGGGGAGGTCCTACCATCGTTGAGGGGTCTGTGTTGCTTTGACCTCTCTTCCAAAACCATGCGTCACTACCCTGGTCAGGGTGGTTGATAGATCGACCTCACGCGAGGTGGATCGGTCGTTTGGGATGCACTCTTGGACACCGGAGTGTGAAACAGCCGACTAGTGACCCCCTGAAACAGGGAGGATCACACATCCCAACACATGGAGACCTCGTCCGAGGTCTAAGATGGTCACGTCTGGGTTCGGTCCATAGGTCTCCCTCTCCCTGCGTCGTCTCCCTCCATGGTCCCAGCGGCAAGACAGAGGCCACCGAATCGCTAGACCTCGGGGCTGGAGTTGGACAGTTCGGTCCGTCGAACTGACCTGTAACAGGACCCGTTTTCACCAGCAAATCAGCATTTTTGAACAAGGCCTGGTACCTAACCATCATCATCCATTGTTAATTACAGGTATTTACAGGTAATAGGACAGACCCAAGCTATTATGATCTGTAGAAGATGTATCATCGGCTGTTTTCATGTCCGATCTCCTGTCGATTCCCCCAGACATCGGGGGAAAAATGTGACCCAATGCAGCGCTTGAAAACCCCTTCTTGTTTTGGACAACCGGGTCTCCGGCCTTCCCCGTGGCGTGGTCTCGTTCGAGCCTCAGTGAACTGAGTGAACCAAAAACCACAAATCAACTGCTCACAAATTGGCGTTACGTATAGGCTCCTGATGAATCACCCCCCACAAAAGAGAGGTGTTCCAGGGTTTTGCCGTCCAAACCGGAAACTCTCTTACAAACGCGAAGTTTTAGAAGACGCGGGGCGTTCAACATGGAAAGGAGATACCGTATACCGTGCAACTCGCCATCGGCGCCTTAATGCGAGATGGCCACGTTCAAGATCGTCTCCCGGTCTGGGATCCAATTCAACTCAAGGCCATACCATCCATGGGACGGTACATGAACAAGGTTCGCTACGAACGGGGCTCCTGGTATCGCTAGTACAAGCGATCGGGCGCGACGAGTTCCGGGGCGGGCTCCTGGCCCTTCTAGGAACAAGGTTCGCGACGAACGGGGCTCCACGCAACGCATTTTGGGGGTGCCAAAGGGGTCAATTGATCGGCGCATATTCCAGTCCCATGGATGGTCGAAGTGGAATCCTCTCACCCTTTCTGGATCGAATCCATCGCCTTCGTCGACATCTCTGGCCACTCCGGAGGGCGAGTTGTAAAGGACGAGTCGTAGCTGAGAAGGTAGCAGTGCAGCCAGGTTGTTGATACTATTTCAATCTATTTCAGATTTGACCTTAGACCAAAGGCCACTTTGAAGAAGCTGAAGTCAAACCCGACCCAAGTGACACTCAAACAACTGGGAGCGAGGGGTGAAACTTTGAGAACGGGTGCTTATTGAAGAGATTGTTTCGATGTCTTTTAGATATTACTTCTTGGGGTAGTTTCATGGGTCAATGGCAAGTAAGTATACATGGAGCGTCTGGGAGACTCTTCCTCTGGACCCAAGATGGGGCAGTTGTGCTATCCGCTCGCCTGGGCGCACGGGAGTAGAGCTCCTGAGAATCAAGCAGTGACTCGAAGTGACTTGCGCAGGAGTTGAAAAATGTATTGGTGGTGTTTGGCACTCCTACTTTCGGGCACTTTGTTCAACCTCCAAGTCTCCCTCTTTCTTTCTCATGACGCCCATTCGCACCACCCCAGTATCGAACTTGGACGATGGAAGGCAAACATACTGCGCAAAAAAGTGTGCTGGTGGGGGTTGTGGGAGGTTTGGTTGATGGGATTGCTTCCAAACCTCCACCTCGCCTGGCCGGAGCAGCGGAACGGACAGGACGCCCAACCGGTGCTTTTGATGGACTACCCCAGACCTGGATACCGCCCTTTGGACCGGATCTCGCGGTGCATTGTCTACCCTGGTCTCGGTCTAAATGCTGGTTAAGCATTGTAAGCACACAAGCAGCATCAAGCAGCCAAAGAAGCAAACCATATTCATACCATTGACGACCGCTCACCATGTGCATAAAACCAATAGGTGGAGTGCAACCTCAGATCTTAAGTGTCCAACATTGCATCATGATCAAACATTGAAGGTCATATATATATATATATATACAATGCACATGTTTTTTTTGAGTGCTTCATACTGTAATTTCGTACACATCACCTGGGCCACTTGACCACCACACTGACGTCGGAGGGGAACGGTGTTTCACAGGTTCGATTTGACGCGTTTGGAAACTCGAGAAACCCTGAGAAACTCGATCACTTAGTAGCTGCCGGGTTGCAGGGAAGGACTTTCCATAGTTCATCCTTACCCCTAAAGCCCAGATATGTATATTTTTTATAGTTTAATTAATGAATATAACAAATACTAAAATATACATAATAACAGCATATATCTGAGAATGTGTGGCCCTGTAAATCCAATGCTTTTAGAGCTTTGATGCTGATTCCTGAGGGAGACTAACCTTATAGTAAGGTGGAAGCAACAGTTACTGTAGTTTATTTAGTCTGGGGTAGTGAAGGCGTTCATGTGCGAAATCCGATGAGAAAGCCAGTCCAACAACTCCCGCCAAGGGGCAGGCAACACAAAACGGTCACCGTTTTCTGCCGCGGATAATAGCACATCAAAACGATCGGGTTTAAGACCAAGCAAAAGGCGGCCAAAAAAGCACAACCAGTCAGTCGCACACCTTCTGCATGAAATGAGAGGCCTCTGCATTTTTGGAAATTCTGGGTGGCCTAGCATGATGAAACGTTTTCACAAGCAAAAGGAATCTTAGGTGCATCTTCAGCATCTTCTGCTCCCCAGTTCAAGGACATCTCCTCGGCCGCTTCATTGCTGATCCTCACCTCCCACGTTTGCTGCAAGAATCTCTTGTGGAGTCTTTAAGATCATTTCACACCGCATTGCGGCGGCCGAACACATTCACCCTCTATCCAAGCATTCACAGTGATCGCCGGAACATGGATCCGGATCCACTTGCTAGGTGGGGACGCTAAGCACTTGCAAATCGCAAAGGTCATCATCAGGTCCTTTACTCTCCCACTCGCTAACACGCAAGTGGAAAACTCCCTGTTTGTAGAGCAAAATGGTCTTCCAGGGGCGCAATTTCTACATCTATGTTAGTGGGTCAGAGTGTAAGAAGTGAATCATGTCTGATCTCAAAGCTGTGAGCTCCCCCAAAAAAGGAACCGTGTATTTTGATGATCTTCCCTTTCAAATCCACTGGCCAATTCTGAGGAGGTATATAAGAACTGAACCTTCAGTCACCACATCTCAATAGATCTCCTCAAAGATCTCAAAGGCTCGTGCACCCCTGAGAAATTCACTTTAAGAACACAACATTCGGCACACCTTCGTCATGCATGTCCCAGCTAACCGTATATACCAAGACCCACTGATATGATGGTCAGTCCGAAGAAAGGACATGAAGGCACTCATTGAAATTGTCGCAAGGCCGATCTTAGTGTTTGAGTGGGGCAGTGCGGGGGATGGTTGAACGTATTCCCAACAATCTCTTTTTCGTTGGATGCACCTAGGCACCTAGCTGCAACATGATAGCAGCATATACTAGCCATGTTCCCTTGACCGCCCAAATGGCCCACTGCAACGGGCCCACATGAACAAACGAGGCATCAGCCGTCTTGGCCGCGACGCCGTCGGATTCCCCGGCGCAGGATCGTCTCTGTTCCGAACGCGGTGGGCTTTCCGATCCGCTGGGCGATCCAGTGGAACGCCCCGTGCCGTCGGAGCGACGTCGGGATGGGTCGAGCGACGGAGCGACTGGGTGAGATGGAACGGGGCATCTCGGACCCTTGGCGGCTCCAAAGTTTAGAGGATCAAAGCACTCTGACTCACTGAATGGAAGTGGAAGACATGCACCCCATAGATGACGCTTGATAAGAAAGTGGGCCATCCGCTTCCATTTGATGCGCTCGCCGGAGAGTAGCTGCGTATACCAATCCACACCTCGGTTCCTCTCACACATGCCCTCGGAGTTGTTCCTAGGCCCAGGCGGCCTTTTCTTGAGCTCCAAAAAGGTTGCTGTTCGATACGTTGAGTCGAGGCATCTCGAGGTGATGATACATTTTTTGACCAAAAGAAACACAGTCTGGCAGAAGAGTCACAACCTGCAGAAACAAGAAACACATGGAGAAAACAAGAAAACACACACACATTTGGGTACACATGTGTATATTGTTGCACCCTTGCCCAAACACGGGCGACTGCGACACCATCGAAAGCTATGCTATGCTCATCTGTTGCTGCCTTGTTAGTGCCTTTCGTGGGTCTCCAGCAGCCACATGCAGCCAAGTTTGTGAGATGCTTTAAAACCACAGTTTCAAAGCCATTGGAAGTGGGTCTCCAGCAGCTGCATGGGGTTCCTACGCAGGGGGTCCATTAGACCCAGGTGAGGAGTCCAGACGGAGATGGATTCCGCTGTTTTTCGTCCGCTGCGTTCGGGGAATCCTCCCAGACTCGGTTTGTTTTTCTCAGAAACGGCTCAGTCGTCATCTGACGTCTGCCGAGACATACCTGAGAACGTCTGAAGCCACCACGTGGGCATATTTGACCACTCCATGAGACGTGGGCGACCTATCGCTTTCGAAGACCCGCCGCACTTTTGCGAAGCAAGTCCGCAAAAACATGAGAATCAGGACCAGCATTTACGAATGATCATGAATGATCATATGCTTAGGCTTGACAGATCACAGGGGTGTAAAATATGTTTCTACCACCGTCATGCAATGTATGTCATTCACTTGGGCCCTCCACAACTACTAGCCTAGCTGCCTAGGTCGTCCGTTGACCTTCGCTGACCTTGACCGGGGGATTGGCGACGCATGACACATGCGAGCCAAGAAATCATCCATGATCACCGACCTCTTTCTGCAAAGAAAAGCGGCGTGCTCGGCCAATGCCTTTACTTCTTCTTTCCTTGAGGGGCGACGAATGGTGGGCACTTCGACTGGGTACCCAAGTGGGTACCCAAGGGCAGGTAATGGGGAAGTCATCTGCCGATCGAGTGAATTCACCCACCAAAGGCGCTGATGCAAAGAATGAACTTCAAAAGGCGCCATCCAAAACAGTTTGTCACCACGACCAGGACACCCAGACCTGGGGTGTCTATTGATAGCCCCTTAGAGGTTAAGGGTGTCCATTAACCACCCCTTGTGGGTCCTAGGATATTGATTTTTACCGATTTCAGGGCGTTGGTCGACTTGTCGAGCATCGATGGTTGCTATAGCGTATGCGGATCAAGGAACGCTTGGATTCCGAGAAAGAGTTTCAACGCATCCCATAGAAAGAACAACCATACATACCAGGGTCCCGTTGGTGGGTGTCCAACAATAGCCCGAACAAAGGTCATTTGGGGTGTCCATTCACCACTCCTGTGGGGTCCTGGTCTGGCCAAGCAAGGTACGAAAGGGTATTTACAGTGAGTGAGACCAAAACCCGAGGAGCAAACGAAGGACCTCCGATGATACATGGTGTACCGGGTACCGGGACCTCGCGCGCCGGCGTGTTTATCTCTGTGTTTCTATCGACGTGGTCAAGTGTCTTGATCACGCTCCCGGATCTCCTCCGACAATGCGGGATCGAACTTTTGCAGGAGGGTGAAGACCTCGGTCTCAACGACTCGGCCCCATCGCCCAGCTGGAGTGGTTCAAACAACACAGCAGAACAAAGCCTGAAAGGGTCGTTTGGGTGTGGGTCTGGCTGATGGACTGGCAGGAACGAGCTTACATGGAAAACCTCAAAGGGTTTTGGAGGGCGATCTTCGAAACAAGACGGGTTTGCAGGTGTTCGTTCGGGCCGGGAGGGTGCGGTTGAGGACCGGAAGTTCCAAGCCGCACTGACCATGCACCAGGCCATCCATCCATTGAGTTATGCTACGCTATCCCAGGCACTTGACGACCAGGCACTGACCATGCCAGGTCTTGTGGGATTCTCGGCGTTGCTGATGCTTTTTGTCTTCCCCTATGGATCCACATACCTGTGAGCCTGTGAGGGTGATGTGTTTGTTCTCACTCTCATGTAGGCGCCAGGGTCGGGTTCAACACCTTCGAGTCGGAGGTACTTGGGTGTATATTAACCCCAGACCATCCATGGGACTGGACTCTGCCGATCAATTGACCCCTCCGGCACCACCCCAAATGCATGGTACATATAGCCTAGGTATCCAAGTACCAGTACCTTCTCAGAAGGTGATTGGAGACACTGTTATGTAGGTTTTTAGGGTCCAAGTACCTTCTGAGAAGGTACTTGGATCCCTAGGCATATCAGTCCCATGGATGGTCTGGGTACTCCAGCAGGACCGTGGACCGTGGACCATGTCCGAGGGTCGCAGCGTAACGTCCACCTTCGGAGGTGCGACCCGACAAAGGTGCCGGTCGGGGCGTGAAAGCCGGATGCCAGGCACCGGCATCACATGGAAAAGGAAGATGGAAGCAACAGCACAGTCACAGCATAGTCTTAGAATATCATACATGGACCTTCAAGGGGTGTCGAATGGAGGTCCCTTAGTAGTGTAGGGGCTTCCATTGGTGACCCCTTCGAAGGTGCTGGTAGGTTGGAATTGCCGCCATCTGGACTTCCTGATCCGCCCAAGCTGCATAGGCGGTCCACTTCCGGACCGAGCTTCTGTCCTGAAAACGTGGTGATGGACAAAGGTGGGCTTCAGATACCGCCCTGCTTGGAGATGGTGAGCTCTTCCAACTTGCTACCGTGGGAAAACACATTGCCCTGCTGGTTCTATCAAGGGGGACGAAACACAAACAAACAACATCTGTGCGCAGTAAGTTTGTGATTGGTGTGTTTTCTCTGCTGCTCTCTTGCAGAAGAAGCACTGTTGGTTCGTGTAAGCCCGCCTTTCAGAACAGGTACTTGATCTTCGGACCTGGACTGCCCCTCATTCCACGAGGTTCTTAAACCTCCGATGCAGGTGGGATGCTTATCTTCCACGATCACCACTGTCATCGTGAAAACGGTCACCACTGGTGCCTTTCCTCCAAAGCCCCACTCAACACCACGACGCGGATCCATTGGGCTATTTGAGGAGATTAAGATTGCGAAGATCCAGCAGTTAGCAAATTACACATAAAATATATGTGTATACTGTATGATATATATATAATATATATATATATAGATAGATAGATAGATCTATGATATGATATACAGATTTAATCATACTCATGCAAATGCTACCCCCACGTAGACCTCTGGACAACTTGCAGCAAGATCGTGCTCTTGTTCCGCCTTCACTGTTCCCTCTGACCTGCTCCCAACCTGCTCTTGTTCCGCCGTGCCGGCACCGTGCCGGCACGGTGATGCCCGACTGAACTCACGCCATCGGATGTTCCCCCAACACCTCGTGCCTTGGTTGAGGTGTACTTCAAGACCATGTCCATGGCCTCCGAAAACCTGCAAGACGAGCAGCTTCAGCTTCCATTGCCATGGAGTCATGTGGGACCATCCGGCAGGCAAAGTCAGGACACCATGCTGCCAAAGTCAAACAGTTCTAAAACTTCTCTGCTGCACAGCAGGGAGTAGCTGGGGCCAAGGAGGTCATCCAAAAGCCAATTTGTCCGATGGTCCGGTTGCTTACAGCCTGAGAAGGCGCGGAAACTCTTAGGATGTGCATGGATGTGCCATTCCTGAATGATGTTTGGACCTGCAGGATGGCATAGTCTGACATGGTCAAAGGGATCCATCTTGGTAGGATGGGCCAGTCGCGTGAGCTTCGTAGGATGGAGTCTGTGGATGTTCAGGTGAGGCACGTTGCTTGAACATACAGTAACTTACTCTCTCTCTCTCTGTATGTACATGCACGCCGTATGTAATTAATGATTTAGTAGCGACTCGCCCCACTGGGGAATGTACCTATTTGCACAGCCTGCCCTTCCAGGGTCAAACAGCATGTACAATGATTTCAGATAGCACAGACCTCAAGATCTCTCAAAAATTTGGATTTCCACAAAAAAATATCGAACATAAACCACCCAGCTGGGGCATGTGTGCGATCCCGACCTCAGCCGGCCTCGCACCCCCATCCGCGCGGTCGCGGCTGCGGAGCTCGCCCAGGAAGCGCCGGGCAGCCTCGGCGCTTCAACACGGCATGCATTTTTGGACCCAAACATTCCAGATGTTCCATGCATGTCCCATTACATTGGGGTGGTTGAAACGGGGGAAAGATGGGGAGGCATATATTCCAGTCCCATGGGATGTTATGGGTCAGTTGTATGATTTTCTGCATTTGTCTATGTGTGCATAAACCGATTTTGCCTTGCTTTGGCCTACTGGCCACCTGCGAGAGCAAAGGATTTTGTGTAGCCAGGGGTTTCTGCCTCTGAAATGCTCGGTACGCGTTCTCCCAAACAGGGTCGTGGCACCCCGATGGAGTCCAAAGTCAGGCTTCCGCCTTCAACAAATCCAGGTGGTGCTGGCTGGGTTTCATGGCTCATTAGCCACGTTCCTCTTCTCCAATCTTCCCCTCTTCATGTGCACCGCAATGTGAGTGCGACAAACAGGGGGGTTGGCAATGTTCAATCTCATCCCGTCATGTACACTAATCAAACCCCTTCTACCAGAATGGCTCAACACATGTCTCTTAGTCTTACTAGGCCAAGCGGCCAAGCTGCAAATGCAGGTGTGCTTTCATCAACGGTCAACACGGTCATCCCTGACCCTCATGGACCCAAGATGACCCAAGCGGCAAAGTCGAAGTCCGCCATGCGCAACGGCCCGTCGTGGCCACTGATGACCTGCCCCCGGGTGAGGTCGCCCGACCGTTTTTAAATGGCACCCCGCCGTCACCTCGTCTTCGAGGACGATTGATAAACACCCCACCTGTTTAAATATATTGTGTATATATGTATATATAGACATATTATATATATATATACAGAATAGGGTGTATCTAATATGTGCAAATTTGCTATTTGCCTGTCCTTAGATCTGCTGCTAAGTTTTAGCCCCCCTTTAGTAGCTAAGAAGCACTATACTACTGGGCTAGGGGCCTAAGAGTACCCCCAAACACAAGCGCTGTGCGCGGCCAGCCCACGACAAACCCAAGCGTTTTCCATGGCAATGGCCGCCGAGGAGCCCCTTCACCGATCCCGCTCAACAGCAAACTTCCATCTCCCAAATGTCTGGATGTGCCAAAGTGAGCACGCGCCTTTTTCACATTGGGGTCTGGATCTCCAAACATGGGCGCGTCGCTGATGGGCAATCTACTTATCAAAAAAAAACGCTGTTTCGGAAAAGCTCCTGGAAGAACCTCTTCTCTCTGCCCCGGTCGCCCCCGGTCACTCTCCGCTTCGCGCTCGGTGCCTCCTCCAGAGCCTCGTCCACGTCTGCGGTGCCTTTGGACCTCGGGTGGTGTTGGGGTCGGTGGTGTCGGGGTTTCCAGGAGCTGCCTGGGTGTAACCAGCTGGCCCAAGCTGGCTCTCCATGCGACGAAAGAAGTGGTATACGAGTGGACTTCCAGCTGCCTGGGTTGACCAAGCTCTTCAGCTGGCCCAAACTCCACTCATCGTCAGGCACGAAAGAAGTGCCACTTACGAGTGGCATAATCCCTATATACGTATCCGTATAATTGGTGATGGTATGAGCCATCCACCTTGGACATTGCTGTACTTAGTCCATAGTCAGGCATCTGAATGCATCTCAACTCTTATGATGACGAGTGACAGAAATAGCTTGATGGTCCGTGACTTATAACATTCTGTGACTTGTCATCTTATGACAATGGCCCTGAATCTAATTGAATCTATATAATATTTTGAATCTAATATTAAATATGAATCTATATATGTCTCGTTTGGGCAAGTTCCGGAGGCAAAGAACATGTGCAACAGTTTTGCCCTGAGAGATGGTCTGAAAATGCCAAGGAACATGTCCAACCGTCTCCTCCCTCGACATCTACACTCCCTGAAATAATCACGGAAGAAGATGGCATGGCCCTATAGGGAAGACCGTTTTCCTCCACAAACAGGTGATGTTCCATTGCTACTTCACGGAGTGTGACATGGAACGTTGTGGAAATGGACACGTTCCATATCGTTCCACGTGCTTGTCCATGCATTGCTATTTATATGAGCAGCTTCGAAAACCCCTATTACTTTTTTGTATAATCCAGGTTTGCTTTCGCAAAGCTTTCGCGGAGCTTTCGCGGCCTGCATTCTGGCTTTCGCGGAAGGTGTGGTGTTATGTGGGGCTTTCGCGGCGGCTTTCGCGGCGATTCTTTTTCGATTGGGAAATTCGATTGGGATATTGTACAATAAAGTGATTGATCTATACCTAGACCCCCCCAACACCTACCAAAATCTGATCGTTCTACATTTTTTGATCGACCATCAAAAACTCATATCACTCAATTCCTCGATTCTCAAGGTTTCCCAACTCTTGATGTTCATGAGATTTCTTTGAGGCTCTGTAGCCTGAAAATTAATCACTTACAGGCTTCTCAGGCAAAGCTTTTGCGGCCGCCCCTGCAGCCTTGCCAGCACAAGTCTGTCCGCAACTCAGCTTTTCGAGTTGTCGTTCCAAACCACCCAGGCCGATGCAAGCCATCGTTGTAAGACTCGCATTTCAGCTTTTACAGCAGCAACCCTTCTAGAAAGCAAAGAACATCGTCCAATGAAGTCTTCTGCTTGGGAGCATGAAAACGAAAGAGGGTTAAGTGCTGGGATGTCGTTGAGCCAGGCCTCATGAAGATCAAGAAACAGGTGATGCAAATAATGGATTTTTGGACGGTAAACAAATAGAGGCCGGCCACTTTGTACAGCAAGTGTGGCTAGCTTGCTGTAGCAAGCCAAAAAACACATCCCACTCTGTACGATGGTTCTGGTCTGCGGCGGGTCCTTGGTCAGCGCAAAAGTTGAAACACACAGAAGTTGAAGGTTTTGTTCCATAAGTTATTAAGAACCCTAAGTGGGCATCAAAAATGTTGGCTGAATCTACCAAAGGTTCAATCCATAAGTCTGCATCGTAAAGCCCCACCATAGAATTGCCAATAGCCCTAGATGCCATGTCAATGTAACCCAGCATCTTGTTCTGAGAACAGAGTTCTGGCCACAGGCTACACACGTAGGCAATGAACTGGATAATTCGGGCGGTATCACTTGCTTTAGACCACATCCCCGTGGGGAATTGCTTGGTTTGATCAGGATAGTGCAACATAGTCTTGCTGAAAGCAGTGATGTGACACCCAACGTGGAACATTTTCCTCCAAGCCTTGAATGCATCATTCAGAACTGAAATCTGGGCATCAACAGAGTTTGAATCGGGAGATTGGAACATGTGGGGGAGCATTGCGACCAGCGCCGCCGCGGCAAAGTCTTGTCCCACACCAGCAAGGTAGACGTGAAATAGGTCATGCAAATAGAACTTTGCAGGGTTCATTGTGTATTGGAGTGAAGATTCCAACATGCCACCTTCCTGCCCTGGTCCCCAAGGCGGCTCCAAGAAGTGCGGCATCATTTGCCACCAGGCAGGTTGTTCATGGTGTATCTCCTCAAAAGGGGCCTGGATGTCTCCGGCGGGGCACAGCCAACAACACCTTCCAAGCGATTGCTTCACTTTTGTGGGATCATATGGAGCTTTCCTCACAGTAGACGAGTTTCTGTTGAACCTACCCGCACGTGTTTGCATTTTTGCATCACCTTTCAGCCCCACCAAAACAAGTCTAAGCAAGCGTCCATTCCACATGATACCCTCATCAAAGCATTCACGTAGGTCTTCTGCGAAAGAAGCCAGCAATGAATGAAATGCAACCTCGTTCTTTTTGTGGAAATGCGCTGGCATGGCCGCATACAGAAAGTGGGATGTGAAGCTGTGACCCAGGAGGCTGGTTTGCATGGAGTCTGGGTTTCTCCTTAATCTATGAACTCCTGGGTCCTTCTTGTTCTGTCTTCCGGTGCCATTCCCAATAATGGAACACCAGTTCAACACAAGAAACTCCGACTTCTTGTAACCACGGCCACCGTCCATGTGGGCATGGATTGGGATGCAATCTGCTAGGTTGATGTCAGAGTCCTCTACCAGGTCCCAGAGCTCAAAGTCTGGATGTATGCCCTTGAAGTTCTGCCAAAATTGCAGAAGAATCCTACCACTAGCCGCAATGGACCTTCCTCCCAGCAGCTTGTTCAAATGACCCGACTCTGCCATGTAGTGTAAGAAGTCGATGGGCTTTAGGCGAGGGAACCCTTCTAGCTCTGGTTTGCCGAAAATCTCCCGTATGGGGATTGGCAAGGTGAGGGCATGTTTTGAGAGTACATCATGAGTCTTTCCCTCTGCATCCTTCTCTTTTATTTTGGACAAGTCCTCAATGAGCTGGCTCTGTGAGGCACCCACACCATCTTTGACCAGGGCTTTGGCAAGTCCGACGACTTTGCAGCATGGCACCTCAGAGAAACGACGGGGATGGGTAACAGCTGGTGCAGAGAGCGAGGGAAGCGGTGAGGTCTTTTGGTGGCATGTTTTTCCAAGACCAGCTGCTGTAGTCAAGACCGGGGAGCATCAGGGGGAGGGCGCAACAAAGATTTGAACACAAAATATGTAAAGAAGGGTGGGTCGTAGACTTGCTTGCCCTCCCCGCCAGGATTGATGTTTCTGTTTCCTGGCTTGCCTTTGTGCAAATCTATCAAACACGATTCGACTAGCCCAGCCTCGTCCCAAGTCGCCCCCGCAAAAACAATGTACATGAATTCAAACTTGTCTTTTTCGTAGCGATAACCGGGGGAAGGAGATTCCGCAGAGGGCAGCTTATAAAATCGCAACAAGGGGTTCCCTGTCATGCCAATCTTGTAAACAGTGGGCCCCTTGTCCAGGATGCTTTGCACCATTTGCTTGCACCACTGCAGGCTCTTGCTTGCAGTGGCGGATGGGGGAGGCAGCTTCAGCTTCACCCTTCTGTCAGCCCCTAACCCTAGCACAAGCAATTCTTGCAACCGTGGTTGGCATCTCACTGACAGCTTGAAGCGCTCCAGGCTTTGTTCACCTAGAGCTAGGGCAACACGAGTCCATGTCCCCCAACTCAACCAACACAACCGCAAAAGCATAGCATAGTGCAACTGTGTGGCAGCAACCAGTCGTATGGATAGTGTCGTCCATGAAAGTGTTCCCTGTGAAGCGATTTTTGCAAAGTAACAAAGAGGTTGCAAGGTGGCAGAGTCAACATGTTTCCCCAAACATCCAAACACGGGGCCCCTACCTCACCTTCACTGGCCGATGGTCTTTGGCCCGCATCACAGCATGTCCCCAGCATGGCACGGGAGCCATCAGCCCTGAACCCAAGAAGTTCCTCTAGCCAAGCGTTCGTTTCATCCACATCCATGGCTAACTAGAGCCCAAACAGACACAAGGCTTCAGGGACAGAATGCACATTGGAAAGACCAGAAACAAACCCGGATATTGGGTCAGAGTCCACATGTTTGACCATACACGAGTCGCACGAGAGACCCACGTTGCAAAAACAGTCCAAGAGCTTGGTCTGAGGTTTGCGCCCCAGTTCCGACGCTCTCTGCCAAGAACTTGGACGTGTGTTTGGCCTCGGGCTTGTAACCTGGCTTCGTTTCACATTCGGGGCAGCGTTTGAAGTAACGTTTTCTTGTGACCCCAGTTGCACTTAAATTCAGAAGGAGTGGTGATCGATTGCACGTTGTAAAGAACACCTTTTTTCTTCAAGTGCTTGTTGTCACAGCACTGCAAAGCTTCTTCAACTACGATTCCAATTCACTCCCGTGTGAAAATGGTCTGGTGCACACAGGTTCTTTCAGTCGAAGTCCAAGACCCCACTGATGGACTTCGTATTCCCCATACAGATACGCCGCTCAGTCTTCCTGGTCTTTCTTATTCTTGTTGTTCTTGGGCTTGCGAGTCAAAGGCCTGGGCCAGGAGGAAGCAAAGGGTTTGAGTTAGGCAAACTCTCGAAAGTTAGCCTCAGACCCACACCTCGCTGAGCGTTCCAAAGCTGCCCACTCCATAGCCCTAAATGAGCTGAATTTCTTTGAAAGAAGGTCAGCAAACACGAGGCTCCGGCAAGGTCTTCCCAATCACCAACATCGGTTTGAGTTGGTCGGCCAGCCTTAGATACATCATACCCTCACAGAAACCCTCCTTATATATTGAGAGGAACATCGTGAAAAAACTAGGCGCATAGCTGGTCAGATGGCTTCTTCTCAACCTCAGACCTGGCTTTGAAGTCAACGATCTTGTCATAGTGCTGGCTGACCTTTTGCTGGAACTTCTCAAGTCTCTGTTTTGTCCTTGGCTCAAGGTGGATTTGGGATCCAACAAGCCATCAGTTCTTTTGAGTTTATTTCACCCCAAGCTTAAAAGGCTGAGTCTGGATCTCATTGGCGCGATCCGCTTTATCAGCCTCCACTGTTGAGAGCTTATCCATTACATTGTCAATCTTCTCGGTCAAATTCAAGAGCTCCTGGATCTGCATGGCCATTCTCTTCACCTGCGAATAGACATGCAAGAAAGGCCATACAAGAGACCCTCAAAGATAATTTTTGCTGGCCACCTCTATCAGGTAAAAAGAGGCTTGCGGGAGAAAAAGGCAACCACGAAACATGGCTTTATGTATGTAAGTATGAAAAAATGTCTTTTTCAATCTCACCCTAAACGACCCGTCGTTCCTGCAATATGCCACCAACACCGTATCCTTCCTTTTTCCTTTCAGAGCTAAGTGTTGGTGGCTATAGATCTTTCCACCCTCTGGCATCTGTATTGAACGATCGATATATTTTTAGTAAGGTTTTTTTGAACCCAATCCATATAATGTTCCAAGGGGCCCCAACCATTTTAGTGCATCCCTCGCAAGTTTGGATTTGGAAGAAAATGGTTACTGATCATCATTCAAAGGGGATGCCCACCACCCAAACCAAGGCCTCATCAACTTTCTCTTCTACCTCGACTGCGCCAGCTTCCAGGCCCAGCATAGACAAGGACATACCACCGTGAGCCGACATACTGAAATGGTCGGAGGTGCAAGAGGCATCCATAGATTCCGTCAGAGACTCCTTCTGACGCATTCTTTTCGTTCCTTTGACCCTTGTTCTGCACCAATAGGACTTCAGGTTTTTGTCAACCAAGTCGGTCCTTTGCAGCGAAGGCTTGCCCCGGCACTTCCATTCAACAACATGAAGCCCAGAAAAGTTGAGTGACCTAAACACTGAAGCAGTAGGTTAGATATGGGGCAGAATTTGTTTGTTGCATCGCTTCACTTTCAAGGTCACTCAACCTTTCTTGGCACTATGACCAGAATCTATATTTGTAGCAAGGGACAGGACAAGTTCATCGCCGTTCTCCGGATTCTCGCACCAAGCTACTGTGTCATCCTGCCTTTTCCTTAGTAGTACACTCATCTTCCCGGGGCTGCGTACAGGGTTCATGGTAGAAGCGAAGGGCGAGTAAAGAAAGTGTTTACACACATCAAACAAGTTAGGTTTGCCTTGAGGCACGCAGCTTATCGTAACCCAAAATGTCTTTCATCTCGGCTCTCGTGTAGTAACCACCCTCTTCCTCCAGGTCATTCTCCTTCTCCGATGACTTGAGAAGGGTGACACTCTTCTTGAACTTCTCCTATAGTGAAAGCATGTATAAGCCAAGGCCAAAACTCACAAACCATCTAACAAGCATGGAAAGAAGGCTTAGAAAGAAGCGGGGGTTGTATCCCAAAGTTCAGCTGTCAGGACAATCCTTATCGCCGCCGCACTTGACGAAGGCTTCCCAGAGCTTGTCTCTGTCACCGCCCTTCTTCATGTACTGTTCATGAATTTCAGGCGGGCACTCAATCTCCCCACTGGCACGCTTGGGTTCAACAAACCTCCGCCATTTGCCCCTCAACTGATTGTACTCTGTTAAGCTCAGGACCACGGATCCAACACGCTTCTTGCCAACCTAGCCAACTTGAAACCCAAACAGGGTAAACCTTCAAGAACAACTTTAAGAGTCAAGAAGAAAGAAGCATGGCCTTCTCAGCAGGAGGCTGGCCAGCTTGCGACGAAGGCGTGGTAGTCACCGAGCCAGGGGTACACGTCGAAAAAGGAGTCTCGGGAGGGTTGGCAGGTATAGCTTTGAAACATAATCACCATCAAGCTGTTCCAAAATATAGCAGTGGAAAAAAGTTTCATAAACAGTCCAAAGAACTCCTTTGCTGGCCGAAGTGGTGTGAGAAGGGCTACCGGTAGGTGAACTCACAGGCTTTGTTTTTGCAGGCGAGTCAATACCGTCAATACCATAAAAAGGAATTGTCTCAGAATGCTGGAGAAGCCAGGTCGAGACGGAAGCGTCGTCCATGTCGTGCGCTGTGGTGGTGTCCTTGTCTTTTAAACTGCCGTTGCTGAGCGATTAACGCAAAAGGTGTCGACCAAACCCTCAGCCCCCAAAGAACTATATTGAAAGTCTTGTTGCACAATGATTTGCTAAGCATCATCTAAAACCATGTAGGGATCATCAAAAATGCCCCCAACCACCTCTGGAGATGGCTCCACCTTGAGAACCTGTGGCTCCCTCTTCGCAGCCACCAGGTTGCCAGCTCCCTGCGCGTCCTTGCGCTGAGTCGTGGCCTTGGCTGTCTGCAATTCCTGCAGGCGGTGCGGGGCTGACAAACCAGCTATTTACGTGGAGGGGGTGCTAACAGGTCTTTTCTGCAACGGACAGAGGAAGGTGCGTCCTTGATAACATCAGCCAGTGCTTCCGGGTCATCAGGCAGTTGGTCCAAGAAGGATTTGTCATCCAATTTCCCTACTGCTGACAGCAAAGACTGGCAAGACCATTGGCGTGAGACCAACCGTTGTGGCTCCATGGCTCTTTTCTTATGAAGAAGGCACTACGTTGCCACCAAATTGGGCTCGGGCTCTGGAGAAGCATGGTGGGCGGGTGTCACAAAGGCATACAAAGGCCACTTCAGAGATTCCAAACTGTGTAAAAAAGAAGGCAAACACGTGGCGTCATTTGGCGTCAAAAAGTTGCGCGTTTGTGTTGTTTTGTTGCGCGTTGGCGTTGTGTTTTAGGTTGTCGTTTGAAATGATTTACAGAACGCGTCGTGTTTCTAGTCGTTTGCGTTGCGTTGTTAATCGTTTGCGTTGTGTTTTTAATGGTTGCGTTGTGTTTCTGAGTGTTTTGGGTACCCAAAGGGTGAGAGACTGGAACAATGGAATGGGCAAACATACCCAAAGGCACCCAAACTGATCGCAATACATCGTTTTTGGCACCTTAAAGCTGCAAACCTGTCATCTACCACACTCTACCACTCTACAGCTCCCTTGGTAGCACTCTCCTCCATTCTGGGGGAATACTGAGGGAAGCACTTCCATACAAGTATGCGACTAAATCTCGCATGGACGCGTCATCCCACATGTCCCCCCAGCTCCATGACTCCCACACAGCTATAGGATCTACAGTCTCATCATGTGGAGCCGGGTCTTGTGAAGGCAGTAGATCACGAATCAAAGAAGCTATCTTCAGGCCGAACTGGTAGGTGTAGGTCCTTAAGACATGAACAGGTTTAGGTTCTGTTCATGGTGGCCTCCAACCCCAGTCACCCTGAGGCCCCGACCCTGTATCGCGCAGCGACGAGGTTCCTTGAAACCTCTTCCGCCCAGACTTGTCCCGGTATTGGCGACAAGGAGGAGGCTTGTGGTCAGGGTTGCGGCTGTCACGATCTCGCAAGTACTCTGCTCTGTTCAACTTACCACGCCAAAACTTTCCAATTAATTTACTGGGACTCCAGAGCATTGTGCGCTTTTGGGTCCTGGCTTTGTAGTGCCACATCCAAAAGCCGCTCTTAAACACCTACAGGGGAAGGATCAACTTGCATTGCATTTATGATGTGTTTTCTGAGAAGCTCAGAACAGACCTTGCTGGCATGCTAGCTATCCCTAAACCAGTTCGAAAGCCTTTTTGACAAGTGCCCTTTTCAGTTTGTTTAGGGGGTTGTTTCGGACCAAAAAAGGGCACTTGTTTAAAAGGCCTTCGCTTCTCTTGAGTTCAAATCCTCTTGACTCATTGTTGATTTCTACAATCCAAACTACCAACAAATACCTGTCAGGTAGCAAAACCCCTGTAAAGGTTTGAGCCGGCCTGCATTAGGCCGCACACGTGTTGCATCCTCTTTGTTTGAAACAGGATTGAAGAGTTAGGCTGCTCTATGATCCAGGTGCCAAAGAAAGCGTACGTAGCAATGCAAAGGAGAGCCACCCTACAAGGTTTCCCAGGCAGGTGCTAACCCAAACAATGTTGGCAAGCGGATGCAAACAGGATCAAACAGGAACAGCAAACAAGCAACACAAGACATTGAAGAGGAGCCTTGCCGCCATATGGTTTGATGCCAGCACTGATGGGTAAGACTCTAGGCCTTCTGGGTTGAGAAGGCTCCGGCCAGAGGATCCCCTGGATGTAGTTACAAAGCTTGAGCACAAGACCCCCAGCCAATGAACGAATCCACCACTTGCATCCCCACGGAGTATTGCCGTAAGACACGCCCTCAGTTGATTTCAGTTGATGGGTAAGGGGAAACGCCCCTACTACTACACCCATGTTAAGACAACCTGTTTCAGAACAGTCCAAAACACCTGGTATTTAAAGTGAATACAGGTGAGCCCCGTTGTCATATTCCAGCTGTCTGCCACTAAAAGCAATTGCCCTTCATCTCCTGGGGGGTACGGGTACCCATGAACAGAACAAATTGTTTGCCTCCTTGAGTGGTTCAATGTTTGAGGGTCAGGGTGCATGAGAAAACTATTGCACATGTAGCAGAAGGGCAAGTGTCCCCATCCCACCACTGGTGTTGATGTCCATGGAGACCGTGTACTTGATATCGGAAGCTGCAGTCGCTCTGGCCGGGAAACAATGTCGAACAGCTCTGGTGGCAGCAGCTTCACCAGAAAATGTTTCAACAAACAAGTATGGCGGCTCCTGGAAACAAATAACGTGTTCTTTCTGGCAGTTGTTGGAACGACAAGCCATCCAGTTTGTCCTCAAAGGAGATCGACGTATTCCAAAGAAGTAGCAAGCAAGCAAAGGCAAGCACCTGGGCGGTCCACCCCAAGACCGGCCAAAGAAGTTCAAAGGGTTACTTCTTTTGCCAGGTTGACTGTGGGGCTGAAATTTGCCTAGGCACTTTTGGAGCACCTACTTTCTTCAGTCGCTGTAGCACTGCGGTTTCCGACCATCGCGCCATGTTTGCTAACCACTTTCGCAATCGAAAAGTATCTTGAACAATGATGTTGCTGAAACATACTGAAGAAATGTTTTTTTGCTGCAACTAGTCACTAGTCGCTCAGAAGACTGGAGACTTGGCATAAAAAGAAACATGCCACAGATACCGTCTCCCGGAACTGGAAGGCCTTCCTTCGCCAGCCTCCGCCAACCACGCTTCATTCCACCTGCGTGGGAGACAAAGGCACGAGGGATTCACATCGTGTGCTCGGGGTTGTCAGAAGGGTTACTGTCCTAATTTTGTGTCCATCGAATCCTTTTGGGCTTGTAGATGCCAAAAAACCACCAGTCTTGGAAAAGCGGACAAAAGCTCAGCTTTTTGCAGCGGTTGGATACCAGATTGGTCCTGGAGCACCTTCAGGTGCGACAACGCGATCGCTTCCCAGAAACACACAAAGTTGGAAATTATAGAGAAGCCACCAGTTCTTTGGTAGTTACGCTTGGGACATGGGAAGGCTTTGAAACTCTACTCCAAAATTGGGCCGCATTCGGCTGCAATGATGGCTACGCGGCTATCGCTTCAGGACAGCAACAAACGTCTAGAGAGCTTGACTCCCCAGAGTGTTTGCGATTAATCGTCACTCAACCCAAGCAAGCTCCGCCGCTTGCTGCAAGCCTTCAGCGCTCACGAGCCACAGGCATATATTGCTTAGCCAATCAGCTGGTGGTTTCACCAAGCGGTTCAACCCCCCATCTCGCCCACCAACCTAACTGAGGGTCCATCCGAACATGGGCACAACAAACTATGTAAATAAAGGCATTAAGGGATGAAAACATGTTATTTATGGCTATTTTGGGCCTAGATACTCATCCTTGAACTTGGCCACAGCTTTGTCAATGTAGTGGAAAGGATTCTCTGGCGCACTCTCCACGGTCCGGTACATTTGCTGGACCAAATCGTAGAAGCGGTACTGAGCAAAAGAAAAATCAAGCAGCAATCATCTTAGTGTAACATAGATCGATTTATATAGTTAAGACTATTTGTCTTTAACCAAGAGCTCCTGCAGTAAAGCCCACTACAAAACAATTAACGCATCAGCTCTTTGTATTACCCATTCCCAATCCTCTGCGCGAGTCATCTTGCCAGCACGAAGGTGTGGGCGGATGTGGTCATTGAAAGCTGATACAATCCGGGCATACTTCTCACGTCCTGTTTGGGTGTTAGGCTTTGCCCTCCTTGCAAACGTAGCTGGCAACAAATCCCGCTCAATGTTTGG